TCCTGCTGCTATCACTATTACTGGCTCGTTTTAAATCCCGTCTACCTGTGGACCAAATGCATATCCTTTTTCTTCTAGTGTAGCTGATTCAGCCTGATATAGTAAAGCAGCTAAAGCAAAGTACTTTAATATAGTTAGAGAATCCAAACAGCTTTGAAATAGTCAATCTTGTAAAGTTTTTATTTCTGACCCTAAGACCCAACTATACCCTTTTCCTGAAAGACTAGTGCAGCTTCATCTTGCTTTACCTGTTTTCCTGTTCATTCAGTTCCCTAGAGCTACTGGAGCCAGAAAAATCAAACCTGCTTACTCCATGTACACATATACCCCACACCTTACAACCACTACACAACAAAGGCAGCCTTGTTCTGTACCTTGGCCAAAAGACCTTTCACAGAGAGTACTCACATTATTTTTCTGTCTTTTTAATATTTCACACTTGCCAAATTTAGCTCTTGTGGTCAGATGCAGTCTAAAGATAATACCAAATTTCCTGCTAATTTGAAGGACAGTTGTGACTAATACCTTAATAGTATAATTAGTACACATTTATGATGAGAACATCAGTCATGATGAGTATGATGAGTACATATAGTCAGTAAAAGGAAGGTCACTTTTTCTCAATAAAAAACCTGTGATCTATAGTTTTAAATGTTTTTGCTGTTTAGTAAATACTTTAACTCTCCCTTAATATGCTATTTTATTCTTATATAAATTTGAAGTAGAACCAATAATTTATGCAACTCCAGGAAGATATCATCATACAGAGGCAGAATAATAATGTTTGTTAAATGGAAGCTTAGTGCTGCATTGCATAAAAGGCATCACTTTATTGTTTTTAAAATGTTTTCATAAGTTTGGGGCTGGAATATGGTTTAATTACTTTATGCTTTATTTTATACAAGTAATTCCTATGGAATTGGAGGCTTTTTGCTGCTCACGCTGGCTGCAGCGGGGTTTCCTACTTGAAAGTAGCTCTTAGACGTTTGAAGTACGTAAGAGTTTATGCTTTCTCATTTAGAGCATCTGTAGATGAAAGACATACAGTTAAGAAAGGACATAGTGTTCCCCCCTCAGTATATCTGATCAGTATTTGATTCCAGGCATTGGCTCCTCTTTGTTTTCTGTGTTTTGGGGACTCCTCCACTCCTTTGGGACCTGGCTTCTATTTTTACTTTTTCTGTTAGTCAACTCAGTTTTATATGCTGGAGCTTCCAAGTACTACTTGTCTACCCCTTTTAGCACCTTCCATACTTCTCTACTAATCACCTTACTTCCCTACTATTTATTTCAGTGTTTTCCTGCTTTAAGCTCTGGCTCTCATCTGCCAGAGAACAGTGACATTAGATGTGCTTATGCTAGCCTTTGGATCAGTAACCATCTAATTCAGTTTGGCAGTGATTTTTCTACAAAGGAAACCCAAACATAAAATAATTTGAAAATAATTGTCCAAAACAAATACTGAAACACTTTGTGATAGAAGTATTCCTAATTTACATATCAGGAAAAAACTGTACCAGTAGCAAAAAGATAAAATCTTTATTAAATATATTTGTAGTTGAATAAGAGCCTTATGATATCACTTATTATTTATGATTTTTTTTTTTTTTTTTTTTTTGGGGTACATGGGTCTCTCACTGTTGTGGCCCCTCCCGTTGCAGAGCACAGGCTCCAGACGCGCAGGCTCAGCTCACGGGCCCAGCCGCTCTGTGGCATGTGGGATCTTCCCGGACCGGGGCATGAACCCATGTCCCCTGCATCGGCAGGCAGACTCTCAACCACTGCACCACCAGGGAAGCCCTATTTATGATTTTTAAAAATAAAATAGCAAATCAGTGTATAGGGATATTAGTTGGAACATAAAAATAGCCTTGATATATAAGAGGGGACTTTGTTTATGAGGTCAAATCCTATTATAGTATAATGAAATTCAAGAAAGTATATAAATTTTTTTTTTGCCCGAAATAAAGAGATTACTATGAGGGATGTATAGTTTGTTTGTTTCTTGGGTTAGGTAGGTTAGGTAGGTGTCAGATCATTAAAAATAGTTTTTAACAGTAGGTCATTGTGTAATATCTGGTACATAACTCTAAAGGGAACTTGCAGAATTGAGTAGCATCACTATAATAAGATTTTCTGGTCCCTTCTATGGTTATTAAGCATTTTAATCTATAAAAATAAAAAATAGGAACAGGATTAATGCTGAACCTTGTCACATTCTGGTAGTAAGTAATATTTGTTCATGGACTCATACACTGGAAAAAAAAAAAAAGGTAAGCTCCATGTATTTCGTTGAGATGTATTTTCAATAAAACTTTATTCTTTGCTGAATAATTAGTTTTCCCAATGTATAATAGTTTTCCAAATGTATAATATACTTGTGTTTTGATCCATCATATACTAATATTAATTATAATGATAACTCAGAATTTCTTTTGAATTGATACTTAGAATCTTATGGTCACAAGAAACTTAAAAACTTAAAACTTAAAAAATGTATATTTTTATATACAGATATATATATCTCTTCTTTGCAGAGAAGAATGATTAATCAATATATAATCCTAGTATAAAAATATATTACATTAGGGTAATAGTCTGTAGTATAAATATAATAGAAATAGAAGGTCAGGGGTGGGGAAGGAACAATGTAAGCTTTTTGAGTGTTAAGAGTGGTTAGTTCAATAGTAAAGGAACAGGTTGTTCAATGGATGATGACAGTTATCAAATTAAATTGATAATAGTTTTTAGGGTCCATTTGATGCATTTAAAAGAGTAGTGATATAGTTTTTTTCTTTAATCAATATTGTTTAATTGAAAAGGGAAACATAGTAAATTTACATAGCAAATCCTGGCAGACACCATGTTAACTAATAGATCATGGTTAACAAAACCAGCAATGAGACACATCACCATCAGAGACCCCAATTTATGATGTAGTGAGAAGGACATAACGTCATTTCTGAGATATTTTTGTCCAAAACGCATAACCTCAATTTTATCATGAGAAAACATTAGACAAAGCCAAATTGAAGGTTATTTTACAAAATAACTGATCAGTAACCTCCAAAAGTATCAAGATCATGAAAGACAGGGAAAGGTGGAGGAATTATCAAAGATCAGAGTTGGGACATTAAACTAAATACCATATGGAATCTTTGATTGGATTCTGAAACAGAAAAATTAGTAGAAAAACTGGCAGAGTTTGAATAAGGCCTGTAGTTTAGCTAATAGTATTTTATCAATGTTGATTTTCTGGTTTTGATAATAGTACTCTGGCTATGTAAGATGTTAACATTAGGGGAATCTGGGTGAAGGGTATGTGGGAACTCCTTGTATATTTTTCCAACTTTTCTGTAAGTCTAAAGTTATTTTTATAATAAATAGTTGTTAAAAAGTTAATGTTATGTTAGAAATTACATTCTTTGTAATTATTGAAACTTAAGATGGAAATTTTAGATGTTACCAAAATATGTGACTACATGCCATGTATTTCAATATTATTTAATGGTTACATGAGCAAAAAAGTACCCTTTGAGGAATTTGACTGGGCCAAGAGAAAAAATATTCTAAAAATACCAGTATAAATGGTTCCCCTGGGAAAGGTCCCAGTCATTGTCAGCAATCCCCACCTCGCACACTGATCAACTTTTTAATGTCTCGTTCTTTCTTTTTTTTAATATTCATTTATTTATTTGGCTGAGTCAGGTCTTAGTTGCAGCACATGGGATCTTTGTTGCAGCACGTGGGATCTTTCGTTGCAGTGCACGGGCTTCTCTAGTTGTGACGTGCAGGCTCAGTAGTTGCAGCACACAGGCTCTCTACTTGTGGTGTGTGGGCTCAGCAGTTGTGGCGTGCGGGCTCTCTAGTTGTGGTGTGCAGTCCCAGTAGTTGTGGTGCACGGGCTCAGTAGTTGCGGCACTTGGGCTGTCTAGTATGGTGCAGAGGCTCAGTAGTTGCAGCACATGGGCTCTCTAGTTGTGGTGCATGGGCTCAGTAGTTGTGGTGTGCAGACTTAGTTGCCCTGTAGTATGTGGGATCTTAGTTCCCCAACTGGGGATCGAATGCGTATCGCCTGCATTGGAAGGTGGATTCTTAACCACTGGACCATCAGGGAAGTCTCTAATGTTTCATTCTTAACTATGAACAAATAGCTTAGTTAGGAAAAGTCACTGTTATGAAAGATGGAGATCAAAACCAAAAAAGAATAAAAGCAATTTGGAAGAGACAGACAATGCAGAAACAAACAAAACAACTCAATATTTGTGGAACGTAAGAGTAGTTAGTACATTCATAAATGGGAACAAGATATATTAAAAGAATGTCCATAGAGCTCTTGGAAATTAAAAACTCAGTATAAGGGAGATAAAGTTGATGTTGATTAGAAAGGAGAGCAACCATAACAACAACAAACCCTAAATGATGGAAAATAGGAAAGAAAAGATAAAATTAGAGGAACAGTCTGCATAATAGATGTTTCAGAAGGAGAGAACAGAGAAACTGGAAGGGAAGAAATCACCAATGAAGTAGTTCAAGAAAAGTCTCAGAATTACAGAACATGTATTTCCAAGTTATAAAGGCCCATTGAACATCCATCGCAATGAATGAATTAAAATAGGCCCATGCTGA